CCACCAGGCTGGTCCAATTTAGCCATGAAACCTCCCACACTAAAAAGACAGGTGTTTCACTTTCATTGTCTAGCCACTGTAGGTCTCTTGTGATTGCCTAAATCAACTTGTGTTTACAAAACCTTACTGTAGTGAATGCAGACAACTTTTCTAATGTTTTCTTTTTTTCCCTCAGCCCTACTGTCATGCCTCCCGGGACAGTGCGTCATCTTTCAGGGTTAATGGTCCAAACCCTGCTACGTCTCCTGCTCCTAACTGCTGGCCAGCCCTTCATTTCATCACTCAGCGGTGTTGTCCGAGGATTAGAAACATCTCACTCTGACCTTTACCCCACCTTTAGAAGAAATGACACAGTATTTGAGCACCTTGCCCTGCATCCTGACCCCYCTGTGGGTTGGGTCTACATTGGGGCCCGAGATCATCTGTTCCAGTTGTATCCATCACTTCAACCTAAGCTGCAGGAGGACACTGGACCTGTCACAGACAGTCGGGACTGTTTGCCCCCCGTAACGGAGAGCAACTGCCCCCAAGCAAAYGAGACTAACAACCACAACAAGCTRCTTCTGGTTAATCCTTACTCTGAMGAACTTATCACCTGTGGGAGTGTTAACCAGGGGATCTGCCAGAAGCGTGACCTGAGTTCCATTAATACAGTACGTTTCTCCACTGAGAGGCCAGTGGATACCCAGTATGTGGCAGCTAACCACCCTAACGTTAGCACCGTTGGACTGGTGGTCCGCTCTCACCCTGACAGACAGCCCGTGTTGTTTGTAGGTCGTGGTTACACAAATAGCCACCCACCTATTTCCACACGAAACCTTGCCCAGGAACCCATCTTTTCCTACGAGGAGACGGCAAAGTTAGCAGTCGCCGGCCGTCTCTCGGAGTATGACCACCATTTTGTAGCTGCATTCGCCCATCGTCGCCACGTGTACTTCCTCTTCTACAGACGGGACCTGAAGTCGCAGTCCAGGGAGTACCGTACATACATCTCACGTGTGTGTTTGGATGACCAGGCCTACTACTCATATGTGGAAGTACCACTGACTTGTCGCTCCACGGCAGGTAAAACTTACAACCTCCTGCAAGCCGTCCAGCTAGGGTTCTCTAAGGATGGTACGGACAGTCCAGATTCTGAGATCCTTCTTGGAGTTTTCTCTACTCACCTGACCTCATCAGCTCGGCCCAGCGAGGACTCGGCTCTTTGCATGTTTTACCTTGAGGAAGTGGACCGCAGGATCGACTCTACCAGAGACCTGTGCTATACCCAGATGGGTAGAGTAGGAGAGGTGGAGGCAGCCTACATCGAATACGAAGTCAAGTCCAATTGTGCCATCCTTCCAGAGGTAAGATCAGCAGAGAGACTTTGTTTCTTACAGAGTGTATAAATACATACTGTATTTGTACTTTAACTGAGGATTGGATAAAAATAAAAAAAGGAAAACTCACACTGCTATGAGGTCATTTGAAATTTYAGGGTTGCAAATGTCCCTAGTTTAAAGTATTTTTTATATTTGATCTAATCTTGATTGGGATGATTCTGAATGATATTTAGTTTGTTTATTGTAGTTTTTCTCAGATTAAAACATTTAATTGTACTTAATTGATGGTTTAGAACAGAGATGCCCAAAGTGGGACAAGGATTGAAACACTCTTATTTGACCATTATTCTTTTGTTTCCACTACAGTCCCATTTGATGTGACATTAAGACGTAATTAAAACAAACATGTAAACCAAGGTCTCAGGGGAGCTCTACATGAGGCCTACTCTTCAATTGAAACATCAATTAAAGTTTAAGCAGGTCACAGAAAATTGGACTGAATTGGCATTTCGATTAGGGCTGGGTTTTGTGGCCAATTCCCTAAATTCATTTAATTTTGATTCATAAGGTTTTAATCCAATCCAATTCATTAATCCAATTCAATTCAATTTGCTCTTAAATAATGAAAATGTTCCAATTCTGTTGCAAAATACAAATTTACTTTATTGTTTCTCTTCACCATAAACAACAGGTTTTGAGGGCAAACTTGTAAATTGCACAGTTTAAACATGAACTGCAAAAACAAACTGTCAAAGGTTTTAAATTAGAAAGGAATTGTTAGTGAAGGTGTGCTTAAACTACAACATTCACTGTAAATTACACCAAGACAATGCTCATTAAAGTGMAAAAATAATAACAAAACWAAACAATTTTGTTGGTGTTTCACACATTTGTACATCCTGGGGAGAACCGTTTCAGTCAGACGTTTACACACAGCAGTTTGGTTCYAGCACCTGAACGAGCTGTAGCGTAAATCTTTGCAAGGCCTCGTTTATCTTTAAGTCCTGCAGAGAGTCAGCTGCTAATGATAGGGATTCCTTAGTTTCTATGGTTTCACCACAGACAACCTGTCGAAAGCTAACGTTAGTGCACGTGCTCTTGGATAAACATCATCTGGATGTAAATGTACAGCAAGTCAGGAGTGACACAAAACAGAGAAATGAGCCTCGGCTTCATTGCGTAAGAGACTACTGTGGTTAATATCGTGGGAAAAATCTATCCCATGCCCTATGAATCAATGGACCTCATGCAAGAACCGTTCGTACGCACAGATTTGTTCTTAAGTTGTGCGTACGAGTGATTTAGAAGAATTTGTGGCATTCACCAATGTTTTCGTATTCTACGATTTTTTTCAGATATGAACAAAATTCATGAGTGGTCCAGACCTGTCGTATATTTTACCAGCAGTCAGTCTGCTGTTATCCAGACGGGTTTTCCTCCCTAAAAACTTTATATTTAGTTAGTTTGACGATATTTTGAGTTGACAATAGGCTATTCTGCTTGAATTAGAGTTATAATTTTAAATGTAATAATTTAACTAACAATATAAATTGTCCGTCCGCCTGGCTTATCCGCGATCGGGTGCGGGGGCAGCAGGAGAGAGACCCCGCTCTCCCCAGCGACACTTTCCAGCTCGTCCTGGTGGACTCCGAGACGTTCCCAGGCCAGAGGGGGTACATAATCCCTCCAGTGAGTCCTGGGTTTTCTCCAAAGTGCCAGACTTATTTTGAAAACTTTTTAAAATGCTTATTTCAGAACCGCATCTGAGACCATCTGCGACCGCACGGGGGGGTGCGGCTCTGTATGGTGCGCAGCGCTGTGTCTTCTGAATAAATGAAAATGATTTAACACAGTTGTTTATACTTTTAGCAGCTCTTTTTATTCCACAGCTGACCTGCTAAAATGACAGATTTTCTTTTCTGGATCTCTGACAGACGGACTTCAATCTCTGAACTCGTAAAGTTTTTCTTTTTAGTTTTCGCTGTCATTTTCATGAATGGACACTTCCTGATATCTGAGGCAGGAAACACAACCTTATATGGTGTTTTTGGGGTGGTAATTATGCTAATCTCCTCTCTCGTGCACGAGCAGCTGGATACGAACAGGTGCAATTTACGCAGCTCATTTACACACMTTTCCTGAAGATAGAAGAGTTTGTTGAATCTGACGTGACATGTTCGTACGAAKCCTTTGTACGAACAAAAGTAAGAGAAATTTAGGAGAAGAATACGAACATGTTTTTGCATGAGGCCCATTAATCCCACATTTAAAWGAGATCGATCCAAGCTCAATTAAATACATTTTTTTCTGTCCCTGATTTTGATACTGTTAACAGTTTCTGATGAATTAAAGTTCATCCTCTGGTTTTAAAACAGAAGTTCTCAGAACGTACAGCAGGTTTGTTTGCTGTGTCTCAGTCAGATCGTCTCTGCTGGAGCTTTCCTCCGAATGAACACCCAGACTCCATCTGAGCTCAAAGGGTTTTAAACCTGTTATATATCCAACACAAAACACTGAAACATAAACATGATACATACAACCAGCAGACAGTTCTACTGTTTTAAATCAAAGAATATCTTTTACAGCTTGAAGTCATGTTTCTGTCTGTCTGTCTTATGAAGAGTGCTGCTTCTCAGAACAGGTGTAAATCACAGGTTCCATCATGGCTGTCCACAAAGATCAATTTATCTGTTTAAATTATGGAAAACTGAACAAAAACTTGTACAGAATATAGCAATTAAAAGAATTTAAAGGGAAAAACTTGATTTTCCAAATAAAGCTTGTAGATAATCTTTAAAACAACAGTGACAGCAGGTACCCTTTAACATTTCTCTGGAACATTTTCTAATTGACTCTAAACCTGTAAAGGTCAGAGTTGTGTTCGCAGTGACTTCGTGCTCTAGTTTGGTTTCCTTTTAAATTCATCTGTTGTCTTTTTGTAAATGGTTGAATCTAACCACTGGACCCGGACAGATCGATTAATGACATTAGCTGCACTTAATGGGATAGCTTTAGAGCTAATATTTAAGAAGGTCTTGCAAGGACAGGAGAAGTCACAGCAGTCAGGTCTACAGGGAGACAGCAATAAAAAAAAGACTCAGATGAAGCAGAAAATAATAAAGAGAGACAGATTTCTGCAGGACTGAGGTAAAAACCTGGGGAATTCCATCGAGCTGTACAAAGAGAAGAACAACGCTGAGYGAGCTGAGGAGATTTAAACTGTGATTAGTGTTAAATCTTGACTTGATCCCTGCACACTAACAACATGCAATCAGCTCTCAGTTATATTCAGTCCCTGCCAGGACCGTCCATCTGCACCATGGACGGGTTCTCACGCAGACTCTAATCCATCAGAAACACGCTCTGTACTGATGCAAAAACAAACGAGCACAATGCACGTGGGAAATGTTCTGCTCTTRAGCTTTGTGCTTATAACACACAGGAGAATCCAGAAACCAAACGTTTCATCCTGAATTCCGTTTCTAATCACTTGATTTGGTTTTTCTGTAAAGGTTAGAAATTAGCATCACAATAATCCAACTATGAAACAGATTCAACTAATTTAACAACTGAATCAGATAAGAACTGTCTAATAATTCTCAGTAATTAGCTGTGAGACGATGTGGACCTGAAGAGAGATGCTCCAACTGAACATTTACCAGAGAAACATGTTAAAATAATCAGAAATTTCAATAAGAATCAGGATCAGTTCTGATAAGTTTAGCTAGCATTTGATRTCTTTTAGCTTTCAGCTACCTTTTCAATACTCATACTTAGCCTCTAGCAACTTTTAACTAGCCTTATGTGTCATTTAGCTAGTGTTGTGCTTCAGCAGTGCAGTTTGAGCTTCTTCAGCAGTCGTTCAGCTGTGTGTTCACCTTGCTGAATTGACATGTAGGGAAAATTTTAGTCAGGAACCTGGGACAGGAGGTTGTGTTTTCTGTGTAACWGATTTATGTAGCAGCAATGTTACAGTTATTTTGGACTTTAGGGAGGTTCTAAATCATAATATCATATTCGTCTATATTTAAATGGAGGAATAAAGTGTTTAGAGGTACTGATGTGGTAAGTGTCTAACAGTGACAGWGTAACTCTACCTTGGCTGAAGGTTTGCCAACAGGCTGCCAATGTTTCCACTTCAGCATGTTGAAGCTCCTTGTTCTTCAGCTAGCAGCCAGTTCTGACGAGTTTTATGCTTAAATATTAATATTTGATCAATCTCTAAACGTCTGTATTACATGTTACAGGTTGTTTTTCTCTGTTAACTTAAATATGCACACTGAGGTTGTGAGTTTAAACTCTTATTGAGAAACCAACCAAACGTGAACAGCAGCTACACAGGACCATGGWGTGTGGGCTGACCTCAGCAAGTCCAGTATCTGACTGATACTGGATTAGACTACTCCAAACTCTGTTTCTGACTAAAAGTTCCTGTGATTTCAGCCTGCAGCACTCATCAGTCACTGCAGGTGAATAACCTGACCCGCAGGCTCTGATCAGACTAAACTGCCGGTATCTGGCCACCATTACAGAGGCAGTCATTTCCAGACACYTAGTTCAGTTTTACYTCACCATKAAGAGACTGTATGTTACCTTCAYCTGTTCTGAAAAAGCTGTATATATGTTAATTAAAATACATTTAATTAAATGCCTTGAAATTGGCCTCTGTCTTTTTAAGAACCTCCTACTMTTTCTGACACTCCCACTTCAGCCAATTTTAGCAGCATTTCTTCAGGGTAGATGTGCTCTGTGTTTTGTAGCATCAATAGTTTAGGCAGCTCCACACGTTCACAGGAGATTCAAGGATTCTCAAGCATGCAAGGATGAATCAAYGCAACAATTMGTTTTTGATGAAGGAATAACATTATAACATCATGTAAAGATCAAAGCAATGATTTTGCATAATAACCTCCCTCCTTTATATTTATTTCTTTTGCTCATCACAATTCTGAGTATGGGTAAAAGCACATAATTTTTAAAGTTTCTAGGGACACATAGCAGAGTTGCTGTTAGCTTCAATATAATATCTAAAGCAGAGCTGTTCAACTTCAATTGCAAGACGCTCAAATAACTAAACAACTGGTGCAAAAGTGTTGATTTTTTTATATCAGCCAATGCAGAAAATCAGTGGTGGGCACTGGTCCCCTAAAGTGCAAATTTGCTAATTGCGGACCTAAATTTCTCCTTTGCACTTTAGGGGTTTTACTAATTTCATAAAATGATGTGCGGATTTGCGCTTTCTAAGTTTAAAATTGAGTAGCGCTAATCGCAAATAATGTTTCACAGTCAAGCGCCTATTTCGTCTAAAGTAAGGAGAAAGAGCCATCTACTCTCACTACGTTCTGTAGCCACATAATTCATTAAAACGAAAGTTACATATGTAACTACGGTTCTATGAAACCTGAATGACCACCAGAGGGTGGTGCTAAAAGCACTAAATGACTAATACCACCGATGTCACAAGGAATCCTGAGCACCTACCTCACTGAGAAGACCCAGAGGGCCCTTGTAAAAGAACCTGTCCCAAAGGGTGAGGAGAAGACACATTCACATTATAAAATCTAGTGAATGTGCTTGAAGAAGACCATGATGCCGCTGCACATATTGTTTCCAGTGGGACCCCTTTCAGGGCCACCCAGGAAGTGGAAATGCTCCTGGTTGAGTGTGCCTTCACCCCGACTGGCAGGGAACAGCCTCCTGCCCTGTAGGCGTGGCAGATGACATCCACAATCCAGTGGGAGAGATGCTGTTTTGAAAGGGGATGGTCTAATCTAGGGCCTCCATAATATTAGAACAGCTGGTCTGAGCATCTTATAGGAGCAGTAGCAGCTATATATGTCTCCAACGCCCTCACTGGGCACAAAATGTCAGGCCTGTCGCCAGTCCCTCCTGACGTAGGCTGAAAACGCCCCAATCTCAGTGGCTGGTTACAATGGGAATGCGAAAAAACTTTAGGGACAAATGCAGTGTTTGGCCACAAGGTAACACCAGAGCCATCTGGGGCCCATTTGAGACATGACGGGCTGGCAGAGAGAGCATGCAGCTCGCCGACACTTTTAGCTTAGACAATAGCTAATAAAAATGCTGTCTTACATGAGAGCCACTTGAGGTCAGCCTGAGGCAAAGGCTCGAAGGGAGGGTGGCGCAGGGCTTCGAGGACCAAGGGCAGATCCCAAGACAGGTGCCCGCAGAACTGTTGGCGGGTGCAACCTGCAAGCGCCACGCAGAAAAAGAGAAACCAAGTTATGGCTTCCAACTGTACCACCATCAACAACAGCATGATTAGATGATATTGCCGCCACATACAGTATACCTTAAGTGTTGATGGAGAGCGGCCCATATCAAGGAGAGATTGAAGAAACTCCAGGATAGTGGGCACCACACAGGAGACTGGATCTTCATCGCGGTCAGCGCACCACTGAGAAAACAAACGCCACCTGTTTTTAGATGATGTCAAGCTATATAGCCTCTGATTAGTCATCCGATTGGTCACAGGTGTGACTCTGTTGGTATTACAGCTCGCACGGCGCATTCGCGAAGGGAACATTCAGTGCTTTTAGCACRGCCCTCTGGCYGTCAGTAGGGATGAAATAGAACTTGATCATGATTTTCTTGAACAATGAAGGTGAAAACCATCTCTACTAAACACAATGGAACTCCACTGTGACGAAACAGCGACCCCTCAGTCTGCATTGCGTTCACAGAGCTTTATACTCTGACTTCTGACTCTTCTCAGTGACGGTTTTCACTTAATACAYACTGTAGTGTTCCCACAATTCTTTGCGTGGCAGGAAGCACTTAGAACTTCTTCACTGTTCTGATCTGCAGAACCACACTCAGCTGTGCATATTGTACATACTCTCAGAGGGACTCCGCAGCAATAAAWATTAAATAAATAAATATTAGTAAAGAAAGAAACACGGAACAGTTTAAATTCACACACTTATTTTGAAAAGAACTGAGTTCCTGTTCTGTGTCCTGTAGCCTACCCAGAATGCATTGCTTCAGTTTTACAACAGTTTAAAATTATTAATATATCTGCATGTTTTCTTACTGAAGCCCTGCCATAAACATAAGAAAATGACCAAGAAGCATCAGAACTAGCAATCCACAACTATTTTTTTGTTTTACAACTATGAAAATTTCAGCCGATATCAATTTCCGATATAATTATTGCCATTATGGCCGATAACCAATATTTATCGATATTACACAAACACACAAATTATATTATACATATTTGCACAAACAAACTTGGATTTTTTTGGTACCATAAATAAATGACCAGATCTCTGACATGGCTCCCTACTTCAGTTATTCATGGCTGTGCAGCGTCACTATCACTATCATGATCAAACAGATGCCGCTCACCCAAACATTTCCCCTCCCAAAACAGAAACTAAAGCTAAAAAGTTGGAAATCAATATCGGACGTTAATATCGGCCCAGTTTTACATATCAGCCCGATACCAATATTCTAAAAATTTACCAATATCGGCCGATAGCGATATCAATACCAATATATCGTGCATCCCTATTTACAGCCATGATTTAAAAGTCTGTTTCTACGAATCACCTCCCCATTCTGCGTCGATGTGTGCCAGTCAAAGAAAATAATCTTACCACTAGATGGTAGTAAAGTACTGATTTATCCCTTACCTGGATGTTGTCTGGCAAATAGAGAATATATTGCGCTTTAATATTAGCTCCGCTAAGTTTTATTGAGCATTTGTGCTTTTGAACTTGCGGACCTAAATAAAATGACTAGTGCTTTAGAAATTGCACAACTAAAATTTGAATTAGTGCTGCCCACTACTGCAG